GGGGGGGACAGCGCCCATCAGGTCCGCGTCAAGGCTTACTATAAGGGGTGAGTGGTCAGCCCGGGCAGGGGGGAGGTGGGCCGGGGAGCCTCTCTTTGGGGTTGGGGGAGGGACGGACGGACGGCCGCCTTGGACGACCTGCGGCGCAGCAGCTGCAGCCGAGACAAAAGGGCGGTCAGGTTCCCGCTGCGCGCGGCTGGTGGGATCCTTTGGCCCAGGACGGCCCGGGGCGCGTGTGGCTTCCAAGGAAAGACGAGAGTCGCTCTTCAAGCCCTGCTTCCTCCCCGACAGCGGAGGGCTCGGACCGACCCTCTGCCTCCCTGGCCTCTGAGTGCTAAGCGGAGGTTGATCGGCTATCCCAGGCGAGCCAGGTTTGCATGCCGTGCAGAGCCATCCATTGATTTATCGACCGCAGTGGCTGGATTCCCCCAGCGCGGTTGCCGACGCCGTATATACATAGCACAGTTTGTGCACCCAGTCATTACGGGAGGCTGGTTCTTGAGGATGTGTTAGGTTAAGGGTCAGGTTGCTGGAGAGCCTACTATTCCTGAGGCTGGCTGTAGTTGGGTCCAGGTCAACCAGGCCAGATTGAACCCTTTTTCTGCTTCAAGGGCAGCATCCTGCTATGATTGCAAAATAAGAAGAGGGGGAGAACCACACGGGTGGAGGGCATACAGGAGACACCCCACTGGTGGTAGCCCTCCTCACAGTGGTTGAGGGGTGGTTGATTACTCTCAGCCATTAAGCCCATGCTCGTTGAGAATGATGTTCACTAACTCACCTAGGACACCCCGTTTGGTGCCGTGGTTAAGGCCTTAAAGTTGAGTTCTAGTCCCATCTTAGGCACAAAGCCAGCTGGGTGGCCTTGGGCCAGTCACTCTCTCTCAGCCCTAGGAAGAAGGAGGCAATGGCAAACCATTTCCAAAAAAAAACCTTGCCAAGAAAACCTCAGCGACTTGTCCAAGCAGTCGCCAGGAGTCAATGCTGACTTGAAGGTACAAAAACAAAAACCCTCATCTAGAGGATATCGGTTAAAAATGGGCCTTTTCAAAGGATGGCAAACTTAAGGGTTAGCAGTGATAAGGGGTGTTTATGAAATGAATAGGGAGTTATAGGGCCAGGCTTATATGGTTGCATTTTCATATTTACCTTAGCAGAAATAAGAGGATGGTGTCCTCGCTCACTGGGTTTTGAAGTTGTAGATGAGATGGGTACTCAGGATTTAATTGTCAAGGGAAGAATGCTGTGGGGCTTTGGGAATGGGAGGGGATGAGAAGATTTAATGCTCCTCACATAGGAGCAAGTAATGATCTTGTGGAATGGCAGCTTTAATAACGTAAAGGACTGCTCATGGTATAAAGCAGAAGGGAGAAAAATGTGTGTGGGATGCCAATTGTCCAAGGAATGCTTGTGTTGCTAGGGAAGGGGCAGGGGAGGGAATTCAGGAAGAGAAAGCATGTCAAGGTCAGAACCTCAGGAATGAAGCATAGTGAAAGTTAAGGAATATGTTCGCTGTTAGGCTTCATTAATGTATGGAAAAGCTGAGATTTGAACTCACTTTGAAATAAAAAACATAGCAATATGGTCTAAAGTATGTCAAGCCTAAATTACTACTTTACGTACTGTGTGGCTCTTTGTTTATATTTCATGTTAGATGCAGATAATTATTTAGATTCATTATATATGATATAGCATTGATTGCATGGAATTGAAACTTGTTTAACATGTGTGAGTTACAAACAATTCTTTGGATTTAGAGTACTCATCAAAATTAAATGACTGGAAGGAGAAACACTTTGGCTGATTTTTCAAATATGTGAAGGTGTTTTATGTATGAAGAAGAATCCTCAGCTTGGTGTTCCCCAGACAGCTTGGGCTACAGTTTCCATTATAGTCAAGTAGGCCTGTTAACTGAAGGGTGATAAGGAGGAGTATCAAGTTGGGGAAACTACAGTAAAGCAGTGCAAATAACAGTGTATTGAAAAGACCACTGAAGTGAGTTGTTAGGCAAGGATGTAGTTCTGTGAATATAGTGTAGGTCACAGATTAGTTGAGGAATGTGATTTGCTTTTGCTGGTTTTACATTTGAAGATGTGAAAGAAAGTACTTGCAGCTTGCCCATGGCATTTGTCAATCATTTTGGATAGAAAGAACTCTGCCTTACATTTTATTTTCAACTTTGACTCATTATTACTGTTTTATAGCAAGCTTTGGGTGGCTTAGTTGGGGAACTAAGGGTTCTTAACAGATTCTTGGTTTGGGGAACTGAGGATACCTAAAGAAATATTTTCAGTTTGAAATTACTCTTAAATAGTTAATCCAACTTTGTGAACTATTAGCAGCTAGGGACAGCTTAGTTAGAGGGACAGCTTACAGTTAATACAATATTATTGTTTGCCTCCTCTTTTAGATCCTGTTTAAATAGGATCTTGCAATCTCTGAACCTTTTGTTTTTCTTTTCCTTGTGAAAGAGCTATCTATAATAGTATATCTGGCTTTTTCTCTTATATATGTTTATGCAACTTCATAATAATGTTAGCCATATAGATGGTTGAAGGAATTCCATTCTGTTTTCTCTGAACCCTAGATGTAAACATTTCTCCTTGCAAGTAACGTGTATGGGAGATTATCAAAAGGAAATCAGGGCTAAAGCTAGACTAGAAAGTAAAAAAAAAAAAAAAAAATCTTGAAAGTAGCAACCCACTTCCATACTTTTGCTAGAGAAAACTGTATGGATATGTCCATGAAGTCACCAGGATTTCTCCTTGCAAGTAACGTGTATGGGAGATTATCAAAAGGAAATCAGGGCTAAAGCTAGACTAGAAAGTAAAAAAAAAAAAATCTTGAAAGTAGCAAACCACTTCCATACTTTTGCTAGAGAAAACTGTATGGATATGTCCATGAAGTCACCAGGATTCTAACTTGTTTAAAATGTGACTTTACTTAGTAATTTTCAGGGATTTATTTTATGGCTGTGCTTTATGTTTTCCAGTTTCAAACTAAATTAAATGTATCAGGTGTTAATTAAGCAATTAAATCTGCTATTAAAGCAGCGTTTCTAAAAAGCAGCATTCTTTCTTTGTTTTCATCATAGCGCCAGTATGAATTACAGCAGGCACCACCTCAGAAAAAGTGTTTTTTTTTTGGTGGAGAACAAGGGACGTCTCTTCTTATTAATTTTGATATACTTATATTTAAGTATAATATGTTAAACAACTCCCACTTTCTCATTGGGATGTTTCTGATTTTAATCTATATGTGTTAAACACCCTAAAATTGGAGGCTTAGAAATGATGTTTTGAATATGGAATCGGGGGGGGGGCAGTAGTGTATTTGAAGTTTGAAGAAGAATGTGTGTTGGGGGGACACAACACTCAAATCAGCTTTCGTGGACTGTTTTGAAAAAGAAAAAAGTGGTTTTCTTCTGAACGGTTGGTTCAGTTGTTGGTTATGGTTGTATTCAGTACCCTCTTCTCCCAGTGTCAGGTTTTATCATATTGCTTGTGGAATTACATGGGTAAGAGAGAAAGATCTGTGTAAATCTTACATTCCTGGTCACTAGGCTTACTCACAAAGTAGGCATTTTCCCAAGGTTTTTCTATTTTTTAATACTTCCTTTTTCCTTCTCCCAGTAGACTCCAGTATTTGTTCTGTGCTGTAAACCCAAACTATAATGCTGTGTCTCAGTCACTAATGTATATTGCAAAATATGGAACTTCATAGAACAGCGTGTAACACCAAATTGAGAAAATAAAAGAATAGCTAAATATTCTGTAGTATCCAGTATCTTTGTAGAAAAAAGGATGCATTCATTGTTCACCTTTTCCATTGTGTCCTAGTATTTAGAGGCCATTTGGAAGCATAAAGATTTTTAAATAATGCATCTTAAGAACAAAATCATAGGGTTGGAAAGGACCTTGGAGGTCTTCTAGTCCAACTCCCTGCCCAGGGCAGGAATCGTTAGACCATCTCAGGCAAATGGTTGTCCAACCTCTATTTGAAAATCTCCAGTAAAGGAGCACCCACAACTCTAGGAGGCAGATTGGTCCACTGCTTAATAGCTCTCAAAGTCAGGAGATTTCTCCTTATGTCAAGTTTTGATTTCCTTGTGTAAATGCTGTTGGTTCTTGTTTTATCTTTGGGTACCATAAGAGAATAAATCCATAGCCTCTTCTGTGACAGCCCTTCAAGTATTGGAAGACTGCTATATGTCTCCCCTCAGGGTTCTCTTCTTTAAGCTAAATACATTTACCTGTTTTTTGTAGGATTTAGCCTTAAAGCCCCTCACTTTCTTTGTTGCTCTTCTCTGCACTCCTTCCAGTTCTTCAGTTTCCTTCTTGTATTGCAGCGACCAAAACTGGGCGTAGTATTCCAGATGCAGTCTGACCAGCACAATGTAGAGTAGAGCTATCACTTCCTATGATTTCGACATACCTCTGTTGATGCAGTCCAAGATAGCGTTGGTTCTTTTGGCAGCTGCAACACAGTGTTGGTTCATGCTTAATCTGTGGTCTACCAGGACACCCAGAGCCTTCTCACAAGTACTTCTGCCAAACCACCTGTGTTGTACCCGTGCATCTGATTTTTCCCACATAAGTCCAAAACCTTACATTTCTCACTGTTGAATAGCTTTTTGTTGGATAGGGCCCAGTGCCTTACTGAGGTGTTAGCAATCTCCCCCAACTTTGTATCATCTCCAATTTTGATGAGCATCCCTTCTATCTCCTTGTCTAAGTCATTTATAAAAATATGCAAAGAATAATATGGGTAGTCCTCACTTAATAACCACAATTGGGACTGGCAACTTGTCGCTATGCTACATGGTTGTTAAGTGAAACATCACGTGATCGCGCCCGACTTATGATGTCAGTTCTGCTGTGGTTGTTAAGTGAATCACTGGCAGTTGTTAAGCTCAGTGTCATGTGACCATGTGCCTGATGGCTTCCCTATTGACTTTGCTTGTTGGAAGCTGGCTGTGAAGGTCGCAAATGGTGATCACATGACTACAGGAAGCTGCAACTGTTGTAAATGTGCACCAGTTGTGAAGTGCCTGAATCGTGATCACATGACCGCAGGGATGCTGCAACAGCTGTAAATTCGATGACTGGGTGTAAATCTGCTTTTTCAGCACCATCGTAAGCTTGAGCGATCACTGAATGAGGCAGTCATTAACCAAGGACTACTTGTAGCATCAACTCTAATAATCATTAATTCGTATAATCAGATTTGATTATGACAGAAAGAAGGTATAGATGAGCAGTCTTGTAACTAATTATTGAAAGATAGAAACTGTTGCCCTGTTGCTTTAAAGTTCCTTCCTTTAAAATTGCATGTTTAGCTTGGCTGTAGGATCTCAAGGAGAAATAATTTCCATACCACTAGCTCTTTTAAAGAACCATCTTTTGCTGTCTTGCTCAGCCTTCCCACCTGTATATATTATTCTTATGAGTTAACAACAGTTATGGCTCAGCTTCATCTTCTTGGAGATAAATAAGAAAAAATATTGTCTGAAACAGTCATGATTAAATGTTCTTGTAGCCACTTGCCACAGAAATCTAAAAACTAAAACTTTAGGTGCAAACCACAGTAATTAGAAGTTGCTATCACAAATGATATTTCTCATTTCTCTGGTACAAAAAAATATCCTGTTTGTATACAGGCATCCAGTGCTGTTTGAGGAAGAGCAAAATCTGACTTATGCTGGGGAACTTACAGTATTTACTGTATTCTGTTCTTTTGATTGACTAAATGAGAGCACAGCTAGTTTGTTAGTAGATCATGAAAGGAAGATCTAAATCTACTTTGGTTATTAAAAACTACTCATCCCCTGTAGATGTTTTCACAGAAATAACTTCATTGAATTTAATAGGACTTCCAGGTAAGGCTGCAGTATATTTCAAAAATATATATTAATCTCACAAAGTTCTTGTATGCTCTTGCTTCTGAATGTAACCAAAGTAAATGCGGAATGTCCTGTTGTTTAATGTTGTTTGAGAACTAAGGTAGTGATCCAAGATAAAAATGTTGTATGTAAGAAATCTCAGTCAATGAAATTCCTTTAATTGATAGCTAGTTCCTAGTGCTCATAAAAAATAGTCTCCTAATTTTATTGAAGTAAAGTGACATGGGCACAAAACTATTATTCATGTCTAAGGCTGAAACCTATAGGCATTAAATTCTCATGACCTGAAGACAGGAATTATAGTCTAAAGAAAGGAGGACAGCAGAGAGGCAAAGGCTGCCTTAATCTTATGTTTTCAGATTGTCTTTCCCAGGTATTGATAGATTTCCTAAACCTGCTTTTCTTCTCTGATGAAAAGAGAAAATTCAGAAGCAAGAGCGTACAAGAACTTTGTGAGATTAATATATATTTTTGAAACATACTGCAGCCTTACCTGGAAGTCCTATTAAATTTAATGAAGTTATTTCTATCTCCTCTTTTTAGCTATTGCCACTGAACATCATAGTTTAGATACTGTTTTGAGGAATTGGTTTATCAGCTAATTGAGAGTGCCATTCATTGGTGTTGTTTCTAAGAAAGGAGACTTTTAGGAAAATGGTTTTTAAAAAATTGATTTTTGAATCATGAAGAGAAAAATTTCTTATAAAACAAATAGGTTAAGGCAAGCAAAAGTTAAACTCAAGCAAGAGGATAGGGACCCCCCCCCCCCAGTTTTCTAAGCAATATTTAGTATAATTTGCATTTTGGCACATTTCTAACATTTCATATTCATGAAAACCTGTTTAAACCATGCCAGCTTTTATATGTGTTTTATTTAAAGTATCACACTGGTGAACTATAAATTTCAGGGTGATTTAAGCTCTTAATTCTTAAATATATTCTTAAAAACCCTGATTGAACAAATGGTATCATTTGTTCAATAATGTAGAGAGATGGTTTTGTTCTCTCTGGTGCTCTGTTAACTTCTACCTGAGAATGTTAAATGTGCAGCTGATTATTACATCTGGAGTTCAAATGAGTCACAGAGGGAGTTGGTTCCTGATCCTGGCATAAATAGGTTAACTAACTGGAATTACTTAGTCACAGTTAAGGTATCGTAAAGGTTGAGGAATACCTTTTCCTTTACTGTCTCTGTCCTATTACTTTATTTTTAAGAGCCAAACAACTGTCAAAGTAGAAAAAGCTTTAATCTCAGAAGCACAGGTGGAATTATGTTTTAAATTTGGCAGTAGTGTTGAGGTTGCTTACGAAAAAGAAGAATCTTTATTGAGGTTGATAAGATAAACGATATTTTAAAAAGTGTTTTTTTCCTATCTAGAAAATGTTATTGAATGCTGTGCTTCCGAAGTCCTGTAGTAAGATGCGTTTGGTGAATCATTTTCATATCATATACAGTAGGTTATTCTCTTTAATTTGAACAGTAAAACAAACATAGGCAATTTGAAGTTTCTTTCATGAGGGAAATGCCTGTCTTTAGCATGTTCAGGTTTGACTGTGGCCCTAGAAGCTGTCTGTATAATCATGACGATCAGGTCTTCTCCCAACTCCCTTTTCCTTGCCTGCTTCTGCTGGCAAGAATCAGCTTTTCTGTGTTCAGTGGCTAAATTGTAATGTACTGGCAACAAAGGTGCAAAATAATGTAGGGGGGGGGGTTATCAAAATGTTTTTGATTATGAATTGAATAAAGATTCACTGAGAGACTGCTGAGGGAAAGAAGGAATTTAACCCACCAAATTTGAAAAATAAATAAGCGTATCTGTACGGCTAGTGGAAGCAGACTTCTAGATGGAGGTACTGCTATTAAGAAGACAAAAGAATGCGATGCAAAAACCCCAATGTTCTTGTATTATCTGCTTGCTAGAATCATGAAGCATGTGAACAGCTATGCCATAAATAGGATAACTCTTGGTTTTAACCTGTTTTATTGTGATGATGTCATTCAATATACTGTCTGAGGAAACTTCAGCGTAAGTACTGTAGAACCATATTCATCTTCTCCTAAACACAGGCCTTTTATTACAGATGGCTTTTAAGTAATGGTGGTGATTCAAGTTTAAATGACTCTTAGTCAAAAGCATTAATTGTGGAGTGGCACTTTTTAAAAACATTTGTAAACATTTATTATATCCCTTTTTAGTTTTCTTTTTTAAAAAACCCTAATAATAGTCTGATCACAATGTGACTCATGTTGACATTACTTTTTTTAGTAAATTACTCCAATGCACTTTCTATGGTGTTGCCTTTGAAAACCACCTGGAAACAGCAGTTAGTGCAAAAGGCAGAGGCCTTGTTATTGGCAGGTGTTAACCAAAAACCTGTGCCTCAGACCTTAGATTGGTTACCCATAGGCTTCCCGGCACAATTCAGAGTGCTGTGTTTGGTCTCAGCCCCTTATGAGGTACCTGGCAGAACCACCTTTTACATCAGTCAACCTGTCCAATATGTTCTTCCTGGAAGGAGCTTTTGGTCATGCCCACTTTCATGAAGGAAGGGGAATGAAGACCAAGAATTGTTTCTCGGTTGCTAGTCTGATCTTGTGGGATGCCCGTCCTTTAGAATTAAGACTTGCTCCATCCCTTCAAACAGTTCAGAAATTACTGAAGACAGAACCTCTGCAGAAAATGTTTGGTAGAACAGTTTGTTATCGCCATCTTTATTTTTCTTCAAATTACTGTATTTATTTAATTGCTGGTATTGTTTTATTCGAATTTATTTTATTTATTTTTCATTATCAGCTGTACTGTAATTTATCCTTGTATTGTTGAAACTTTGGTTAGTCATTAGTTGTTTTGATATATCTTTGTTTACAATTGTTATGAATGTTTTTGTTGATTGTTTTTTAAACTACCACAAGTCTACGTCGATTCAGCGGTACATAAGTAGAAAAATAAATCTTTATTTTTAGAAACATTTTGTTTCTAAAGAAAATGCTGATGTGCATTTAAACAAGCATGAAGTTGTTTTTAAGAGTTGAACGTACAGTCAGTTGCCTGTGCATTGATAAATTAGAAGCAAATAAAACTGATGCAATTACAGATGGATGTTCATTAATAGCCTGTTCATTGTACTCTTTTCAGGGACATTATGATAACCTATTTTGAACCTTCTATCTCCTTTGAGGGACTGTGTAATGAAGTTCGAGACATGTGCGCCTTTGATAATGAACAGTTATTCACTATGAAATGGATTGACGAAGAAGGTAAGTACTTCTTCAACCATCAAGTACTTCTTCAACTTTTTGCAGGGCTGTAAAATGGTAAGCATTGTGGTTTTGATATCGGCTCTGTCAGTTTTAAGAATTAGATTCACATTTATAATAGTATTGTTGTTGTTGTTCAGTCGTTAAGTCATGTCCAACTCTTCGTGACCCCACGAACCATATCGCGCCAGGCCTTCCTGTCCTTCACTGCCTCTTGGTTCAAAATAGGGAAAGGAGTACGACAAGGCTGTATACTGTCACCCTGTTGGTTCAAAATAGGGAAAGGAGTACGACAAGGCTGTATACTGTCACCCTGTTGGTTCAAAATAGGGAAAGGAGTACGACAAGGCTGTATACTGTCACCCTGTTGGTTCAAAATAGGGAAAGGAGTACGACAAGGCTGTATACTGTCACCCTGTTGGTTCAAAATAGGGAAAGGAGTACGACAAGGCTGTATACTGTCACCCTGTTGGTTCAAAATAGGGAAAGGAGTACGACAAGGCTGTATACTGTCACCCTGCAATGAAGCAGAAGTAGATGTTTTTCTGGAACTCTTGTGCTTTCTCCATGATCCAACG